GGACCGCTCTACTGCGATGAGCTGTCCCTCCTCCACCAACGTTCCATCTTCTCCCGCCGCATCCGGGTCAATCACAACTTCTACTGTTTCTACTGGCTTCACTATTTCCAGGATGTTCAGCTTCTCCTCCCCTGGGCAAAGAAAAATACCACACATGATGATTTAGTGAAATTTAGGTTTTAGGTCAATCATGTTCAGAATCCTGGCTGAACTGGTACCTGGTTTGGCAACAATCTGCAGGCTGAGCTGCACGGTGCCGTCCGTCTTTACTCCCTGATCGAAGAGGCTGTGATCTGGGTGAAGCTGAAAAACAAAAAATAACAAATAAGTACAAAATATTTGCTTCAAAATATGAGATGATGTAATCCCACACCAATCTTACCTGAATGTCTTGTAAGCAGATGTCAAATCCATCCAGACAGAATTGGACGCGAGGCTCCAAAAGCTTCTTCAGATTGCCAATGGGCTCGTTGATGTCAATATCTTGTTGAATCAAATCAGAAGCAGTGATGGTCTGCTCCTCAATGCTACAAATGCAAGACAATGAGAATGAAAACATGTAGGCTCTGCACATGTTTTAAGTGACCTTTTAGCTTACCCTTCTTCTAGGCATGCCTGCTTCTCCCGTTCATCTATCTCGATCTCTATCAACTCTTCAGTCTCGCTTTTAGACATGTTGATTTGCAGATCCCTTGAAGACAGAGGGAACACGTTTTACTCAGATTCATTCCACTTAAAGGTTTAACACAAAAACGATCAGATCAAAACTAAAGAAAATATGAAAACAACTACCACAAAGTTGTATTTTATAAAAAAATTTGTTTTAAAATCAACTGATTCATACATTTCAAAAACAAGATATACAGTGCTATGACAAACCCCACTTTAGGGAACTATAAGTCATTTTCAGCAACATCATTTAGATTCAAATTTGAAACAACTCTTTATGTTGAGCGATGGTGCCCCCTACTGGTTCCGATAATAGCTCTCCCTCCATCATGGTACTGGCAATTTATTGGATGAGGGTGATACTTTTAATTGTTATTAACAAATTAATGCTGCTGTATTTTTCAAAACAAAACTCAACAAAATAAGAACAGAATGTACAATTGTAGAATTTTAAGGTATACAATTAAATATAATTAAAGATCTTGAATTGGAAATCTGGTCTCATTTAAGACTTTTGAAGACAAAAACCCCCAACTATGATTAAATTCAAGACTTCCTAAATAAATTTTGTTAGCTCTGTAGAAACCCTAACTATCAAGCTGTGAAACACAAATTGACTTATACCTAATTTATAACAAACAGCAAAATGTATAGCTTTATTACTTGATCATAAAGTATTAACATTTACTCTGTAGGTAAACTTTAACAGTTCACTAATAAATTAGTTTTTTTTTTTTACAAAACTGAGTTTTTATTTGGAATTTATGTAATCATATGTAGACATGTGGAAAAAAGATAATTGTAGTGTTTTTGTCACTGCAGTAACGACCAATCTACGACTCTTTATTTTTATCCTGTGTGACTACTCCTGTGGAAATGCATTTATTTGTGGTAACTACACATTCCTGGCTTTGAAAAATTCATTTTCCAGTTAAGAGGTTTCTAAAAGAAAATGAATATCCTTTTGCAAATTAAAGCTTCTTCAAAATTTATACATAAAACTCAGGTATTCAACATGGTACCAAGATTGTTAATTTGTTCGCTTTTATTTGTACTTTATCTAACGGCAAAATTTATGAACTTACTGCAAAAGCAGCAAGAGTAGAATACAATTTAAATTCAACTATTAAAATCTGAATGGTTTGGAAGATTAGTTAAAACACGTTTTGCACCATTGGTTGAACTATATTATAAAGAATATAACATATATATTCTTTACATATATATATAGCTGACAGCTTAAACAGAGCACAACCTCTCAAACCTCAACTTTTGTCACGCAAACAACATAATTACATGAGCAGCTACATTTTTCCTTGCTATAAGGGCCTCTGAGTCTCGCCTCCTCATTGGCCGCCTGGGACACTTCACTCCTGGCCATCGTTAGCCAAGGCGAGGTCGAGGCTGTGGGGTTTAGGGCCAACTGTTAGGCCTCGAACAACAAAACACTCTAAACATAACTATTAGTCCCAATTAAGTGCCACACGAATGTACAAAAGTCCATTTCAGATAGCAGGCTACACGTGTGGCAACAATGGAGCGGGCCTGTGTTGGACAAGTTAGCTACAAAACAGCAGCGCGGGGCGAGGCAGCCCATTACACAACCGTCGATCCTCCGCTGCCTCCAGTGCTAAACTACGTTTGAAATAAATTTAAAAACACAGGGAGGGTTACAACTTCAGCGCGGCTACGTTAAACGACACTATAACTCTGGATGTAGAAAACTTTTAAAACGGAAATAGAATAAACGGAAACAAAACAGCATAGGGCAAATGGAAAGGAGCCGGAAATCCTGGCTAAAGGTTTACAGCGTTACAAGACTTCCTAGATCCGCCGCTCGGATCAACAACACAGCCCGCTTTTTTCACAGGAAAACTACTGCCTAAAATCCATCGTGTTGTTACCGATTTTATTCAACTAAGAGCGGTTTGTCATGAAACGCGGAAGTATGAGCTAAAATTCGTTTAATTCTCTCGGGATGTGCACCTACTGTCTGTTTGTAGGGGTCAGCGGCGGCTCAGCTTTACCTTCGGCTAACAGCTAGCGTTTCGTTTCAGCGCTTTCTGTGTTCCCAAGACGACAAAAGCTCAACGCCGGCTGTCTGTGGTAGTCTGAGTTTACCCTCCGTCGGCAGGGCTGTTACCCGAAGAGTGCTTGCCTAGACGGTGGGCGGCCTCTTCCCACTACCCTGACTATACTATCAGCTGCTAACAGGGTTAGCTTTGCTAATTCAGCTGAAAAATAGCGGGAAGAGTCAGGGCACGACCAAACGGAACCGTCTCTCATTACACCAACGTGTTACAAAAAAACTCATCCGAACAGATCAACTTTTTGCGAATATCAGTACCTTTTTAAAGTTCTAACTTTTAATAATCAGAAGTCCCAAAATTCACCAGGTCGTGTCGTATCTTCAAGTTTTTGGGCCAACAACACAGAAACGAGGGGCGGAGACTAACCGGTAATACTGAGCTCAAAACTTGCAAACAAAATACAGGTAGTTAAAAGAGACATGTGCTTTTTTTCTGGCTTAGTTTATGTGTAATAATTATGCATTATAAAGAGCTTCACAAGAGTGTTCTATGGCCCATTCAAATATTGTCATGTAACAACCACACAAATTAATGTTATGTATTGGGATTTTATTTTGCACTATTGTTTTGAGGAAAGAGGATGGTTTTCTGAAAGCCAAAACAAATAAGCCATGCATATGGATTCAGCCCCACTGAGTAAATTGGTTAGTAGAACTTCCTATTTCTGCAGTTTGATCTGCATGTGTTTTTATGTCCCTATCAGCTTTGCACCTCCAAAGATAGGAGGGCTTTGACTGGTCTATTCTAAAACATTGATCTTAACACCATTACTGTTCTGGCTACATGTTGAGGGAGTTGTTCATCTGGAAAGTTTATCTCTTCCCAGTTTCAAGTTTTCTTACAGGACAGGCCTGCATTTATGCCATCCATCTCCCTATCAAATCACCTGACCCGCTGTCCGTTCTGAAGAACAGCATGATGACGCCACCGTGATGATTATTGATCTTGGAAGTTTGAGAATCATTTTTGCTTCATGTATTGCAACATTTAAAAAGCAACATCAGGGCACTTGTATGATCCTATAAGTCCATTCCAACGATTATGTAGAGTATCTTCACATAGACCATGTAACATTTGGTCTGCTAAAAAAGGTAGTACAACCAACAAGCAAGGGTTAGTTTATGTTGACTATGTCACATATTGTACTAAGACTTTTGGATGTTTCACTTCTTTTCAGCTGTAAATGTCAGGCCTCCACCTGTGTACATGTGAAGAGTGTGTATTTACGGATTCCTGCATGAATATATGGCTCTTTTTTTTCAGTGAATCATGTAAATACTCACTCGTGAAATTAAAATAAACTTCTATCAGTTTTTATGTGTTAACATCTATGTAATTTTATTTTCACGACATTGTCCATTCCTGGAATGTGTAATTTGAGTTGGAACATTGTATGCACATCCACTAATTAAATAATCCTGTTCACGTTGTTGGTAATGCTCAGCTTAAATGTACATCAGAAATTTGGAACGCACAATCAATGTAAAGAATAATGTAAAATAAAAAAAAGGATAGAAAAAGTCATCTGTGAACAGGGGTGATTAATGTATTCACAAGTTATACTCAAGGGTAGGACTACTTAAACATATTCACACTAATAAAAAGCAAAGCATCTGAGAAATTCAAGTGAAAGTAAAAATAATTTTAAAAAAGTATTTAATTTCTGAGTAATAGATCATAACATCTGATTTTGTATTTTGAAGTAATGTTAGACAAAAATATAAAGCTGCAGATTTTGGTATTTTTAAGATGAACATGCTGAAAATAAAAATACTAATAATACAATTACAATATAATAAATTAATGCAGAAGAATCACTTCTCCAAGTGAACTTTTTATTTTAAAACTTATGAAACTAATACTTACAGCTATGTATACATCAGAATAAAGTACTTCCAATAACAATAATGTGTACTGTAGTTTACAGTACAGAAATTGTATTTATGTAAAAAATAAAAAAGATAAACATAACTCAAGTAGAAGCATATATAATAGTGCAGTAAAAATACCGCTAAAATAAATTTTTTCCTGAAGGTTCCTTAATCAGTAAAAATAAGTTACTGTGATCGAATTAAAGTAGAGACAACAATGGGTTGAATAAAAAGTACATAGACACATCGAGATAAACTACAAATTACATCTCAAGTTATGATTCAATCATTGATTTGTCTTTTTCAGAATGCTGTTTCTTTAAATGTTTTTTTATTGTGAAAATTGAATGTTGACAGTGAACGTGCTTTTATTGTGAAGAAAGCCTGCCGGAAGTGTACTAGTCAATGCTGCCTGATTTGAATAGCCAGGCGAGCCAAGATGGCAGAATATCTGGCGTCCATTTTTGGGACAGAGAAAGATAAGTAAGTGCATAAAAAGTGCTTGGTTGACTAATATGTATTTTCATCGTCCATGTTTTTTAAATCAGAATAGCTTTGAATATAAATGCAAAACTCACCCAGTCCTTATTGAAAAGCCGTAGTATTACATTAGCCGTGGCTACTAGCGCTAGCATGCTAAATTTCGTCGCAACGCGACAGTTAGCTTTTGGTCTGAATGAGATGGTGAATGAAAAGTGCTGTTTCGGAATCATAATCTGTTATTGACGAATAAAAGTGGTTTAATTTAGCATTAATACTGGTTTTACTCAAGCTACTAGCTCCCGGTGTGCTAACGTCAATCATTTCTTTGTTTGTAGTAGAAAAAAACGTGATGCTCGTGGTTAGCTTTTTAATAAATTAAATTATCGTAACCTCTCACTAACATTCTCTAAGCACCCAAAAACTACTAATTTTAATTACCGTCTTTATTTTTTGTAAATCAAAAATATTGGATATTGGTCCCCGGGTCTTTATGGTAAACATAAAAAAAATAATTAATAAATCATTAAAATCTTCTTTTGTTGTTGTAAAACTGCAAGCAATTAGTAGTTTGTTTTTGCATACAGTATTTACCTCTATTAAAAGGAGTAAAACTAGTGTTTACTAAATTAATTTGAGTAGTTGGTCCTCAAAAGTATGAAGGCAAACGTGAATTAAGACTAAAATGATCTCTAACTGCAATCACTGTTGGTTAAAATATTAACTATGTCTGATTCCATATTGGAATCCATGTTTGGACATTTACTGCAGAAGTAATGCTTCCTGTAACGTAATATTGCATAAATGTGCAATACCTGGCTGTTATACTTATGCTCTAAAAATAAGGTAACATTTGTCTTATAAAAATGAAGCAGGTAGATCGATGCATCCATTTTTTTATTTGAAATTTTATTCTCTCGTAATTTAGTATCTTTTTGTTAAAAAAAATAGCAATTAGACTATATTACAATAAAGTCTTAACTTTATATATGTATGTTTAATTTGTGTTGTCTTCTGAAGAACTCCTGTGCCTTGTTTAACTTTATTGTTTTTGCTTCATTCTTTCCAGAGTCAATTGTTCGTTTTACTTTAAAATTGGTGCCTGCCGACATGGCGACCGCTGTTCCAGATTACACAACAAGCCAACATTTAGCCAGGTAAACACCTCTTACTGACATTCTTCCACATATACAGCATGAAATTGAGACACTTGTAACAGAAAATACTTTTTTCACTGTGAAATACCAGTAATAATATAACAGTGTAGGATCAGATGGTGGCTTGACAACAAAAAAACCCCAAAGCTTATAATTTGACATTAAATATGGCCTAAAATCAACAGTGAGGAAAAACTGCATGAAGGATGAGGTGAAACTTTTCTATTTAGTTAAGTCTGTATCATAATAATATTACACAGTTAGATTTTGCTCTGAAAGACATCACTTAAGTAGAAAGCATTTCTTGTAGTTTGATGTTTTGCTTCATGTACGGTATCTAAATGTGATTTTTATTTTATTTTTTGTTTGTTTTTCAGACAATTGCCCTGCTGAATATTTACAGGAACCCCCAAAACAGCGCTCAGTCTTTGGATGGATTAACCTGTAAGTAAAAAATCTTAAAATGCAGTAAAGGTATCTGTTTTTTTTCTGTTTTCTATCTTTCTGTAAGATATTAAATGACATTAAATGCCCGGGATTTAATTTATAAATTTATTCATGCTGAAGATGTTTGGTGTGAGCCCGTATTAACTGTAATGCTGTTTTCAGTGTATGGATCTAGGATGTTTATATTCTAAACATTGTGTTTTCTCTCCCAAGGTTTAAAATTACAACAAAATAGACACTTACAATGTGATAATTTGATCTGATTCTGCATTTAACCAAATTAACCCAAAACTGGTAAAACTCTGGATTTGAAAGTTGATGTTATTTCTAAAATGCAAGTTAAACAAACTGTATCTAGTTTGAAATAATGATGCTCCATTCAGCAACAAGTGCTGGTTTTGCAAAAATACCACCAAGGGTGATTACTTCCCACATGCGAGAGGCTTTCTGCTAACATGTAGTAAACATAGTTTCAATAATCAGTTTTCATTCAGTACTCTCTGTTGCAACCACCAGGCACCGTCAGCGACATGGAGATGCAGGAGCACTATGATGAGTTCTTTGAGGTAACTGGTGATTCATATTCTCTACAAAGTCTTAGAACATTTGTTAATCATAAATCCATACAGGTAGAGCTCAAGACCTAACTCGTAATTCCTTGTTTCCTGCCACTGCAGGAAGTCTTCACAGAGATGGAAGAAAAATACGGAGAAGTGGAGGAAATGAACGTTTGTGACAACCTTGGGGACCATCTTGTGGGAAATGTTTATGTGAAGGTGAAAATTGTTCTAAAATGAACACGTATTGTTGTCTTTGCTCTGCTGTGATGGTTCATTTGATGCCAACACGTGTATATATATTTTAAATGAATATCTCCTTTGATCGCATTATAGTTCCGCAATGAGGAGGATGCTGAGAAGGCTGTGATCGACTTGAACAATCGATGGTTCAATGGGCAGCCGATCCACGCGGAGCTCTCTCCCGTCACAGACTTCAGAGAGGCCTGCTGTCGCCAGTATGAGATGGGGTGAGTCCGTTACAGACGTGAAAACAACCCTTCTGGAGAGTTCATTTCTAGCATTGGGCCACAACCTGTGCTTCCTGCACCATAAGATTTAGAGGTTTTTCAACCTACCAGCCTAAAATACTTAATTAATTTACATTTTTAAAACTTACCCCCTCACATAATTCATAATGTTAGATTTTGATTATGAAATAAACTAACTTCTGGATAAATAAAATAAAGTAATATCAAATAATGTATAACCATCAGTTTTTTGTCTTTTTCTTGCAGTCCATTGAATTCACAACATCGACATGACATTTTTTTATAGACTATAACTGCAAATGCTCTGTCATCTTTAGCTTCCAGCCTTGATTTATTCATCAAAAACAGGCCATGATCAGTTGACCTCCTGGTCCTCAATGGTGATGATGCATTGCTCAGGATGGTTGGTCAAACAATTTTAATTCAGCCAAAAGTTGTTCCAAGTGTTGATTCAGGCAGACTAAACATAAACATTGCTGATTAATTTCCATTTCAATCACCAATGATGAACCCAGCTGATAAATAGTGTTGAATCAGCTCATCTTTAAGAAGCAGGACATCAACATTCAGCAGTGGAGTTTGTATGGCTGCTTAAGGTGTTTTTGAGTTTTGGCTTAAAGAATAGTGCAACCCCATTTCTACCATCTGTTGTTTGTAATAAACGTTTTCACTTCAGAATATCCCAAAGTTGTTTTATTTTTTTGGTGTTTATTTTAAGTGACTCTCCTTCTCTCTGCAGAGAATGCACTCGTGGAGGTTTCTGTAACTTCATGCATCTGAAACCAATCTCACGTGAACTCAGGAGAGAGCTCTATGGACGCCGCAGGAAGGGGTGAAAACCTCTCCTCCATATTAAGACACGTTACCTGCCTCCCTGTGACGTTGTTTTGATTTGACGTTTTTTTTTCCCCCCTGCTTCTTATTTGCATGTGCAGCCGCCACCGGTCTCGGTCCCGATCCAGAGACCGGGACAGAGGCCGCGGAGGAGGAGGAGGCCGTAACCATGAGCGGCGTCGGTCCAGAGACAGAGAGCGTTCAGGGCGATTCTGAGCCACAAGCATCGACCACTCAACTCTCCATCCCTGAATCCATCACTGTGTTGTTTTTTTTTTTGTTTTGTTTTGGGTTTTTTTTTGTTTGTACCCTGCCTCATTTGGATTTATTACAAGGCAGCAGGTTTTCAAGATTTGTGAAAATAAGTTTCACCTCATTAAATTTAAAGTTTCTACTCAAAAAGGACGTGTGCTGACTCATTTGTTCTGTAACGAAACACAAGTTTTTGTGTTTTTTTTGTCTAAGTTCATAATTTGTTGAACATTTCATTGGCTGTGCTATATTGTTATTTTGTCCTCGTTTCCTGCTCTGCGTTTTCCTTCCACACAACTTCCGGTTAATACATCTTGCATACAGCACTCTGAAAACAGCCAGATTCTTTATCAATGTCCGTTTTTCCCTCTTTGTAGAAGGTGTCATGGACCGCCTGCTGAACTAATGTCTAGGACATAAATGTGTTGACCATAACATTCCTTCTTAAAAATGTAGGTTGGTCTTATTCACTAATCCAAATCTCAAAATTAGCAGAAAAAAATATTTGAGATTTAGTGAAATAGTGAATAAATTAACTTTTCTATAAAATTGCCAGAGAATGACCAACACCCCGATGTTCAGCTTTGATTTGGAGCATGGGACTATTGCTGTCATAATTTTTGATCTAATTTAATCAAAATGTTAACTTTTAATAAGTAATATTTAAGGATGGCTGGAAATTTCTAAGTTATATAAACTTATAAAAATACATTTATGAATGCTATCATGAGCTTCAGTCATTTAAATGGCAGTTTTGTGATGAAAGTCTGAGTGATTTTATCCTCAAATATAGAAATATGCTGAATTATAATGCATACATTATTTTGACAAAATTAAAGTGTGAAATTTTAAAATGAATTTAAACATGCAAATTTATTTAAAACGTTTTTTACGAGTAAATGTCAAATTGATACATTTGATGCTACAATTTGAGGAAAAAAAAAATACAATTCAGCACAAAATACACAACATTCTCATAACCTAGTGACGTTAAACTTGGCAAATAAGAACTTTATATATTTTCTTAAATATTTTAAGATACAGAAACCTGAAACAAAATACCTTTTGAATTCACAGAAAAATAAAAAAAATTGAAAGAAAAACTAATTCAAGGATTTTAGCATTAGGAATGTATTTTCCAAATCTGAGATTATTTGTGAGTGGCAAACCAATATTTAATATTATATGCTGCAAATTGATCCAAAAAGAGGCATAAACTCAAGAAGATTCGAAATCCTCTGAATGAAAATAATTGTTTGCAAAGTTTTTCCTTTGCGGTGCCACATGGGTGGAAATGCTGGAGGGGGGAACAGGGAGTCAGGAGCCCCCTGAATCCAAGCAGCCAAGATATTTTTACCTCACTTTCTCCCTTCGAGTGAAACCATCCTACACAATGCAACAGTATTCATTAAATTCCCCTTCTTTAATAGAGAGTGTAAAGTGTTGAAACACAGAAGACTTGCATTCCCCCCATCAGTGCATGTCAGTGGTTTGGTCCCCTGCATGCAGCCTCCAAGCCTCCCCACACCCACCTGGGGTCTGGGAAGGAGCCTCTTTTGTGCAGCAGCCTTTGGAAGTGTCAGTCGTGCCCAGCCTCCTGTGAGTGAGTATCCTCTTTCACTGCTTCACTGGATAACAAATGATGCAGCAGAATTTACTGAAGCTTCATCTAAAACTTGTGCAATCTGGTTGAATTTTATTCTCTCTGTTTAACTAGATGTTTAAAACCTGCAAGGTTGACATAGAAAGAAACCACCTGCTTCATAAACTGGATAAACTGTTCATAGTCTTGTTAGGTCAAATGCTACATACTGTATGTGTGTTTTATACAGCTTATTTTTACAAATTAAAGGTGCAGCTTCAAATGCAAAAAATAATTCTGATTTGCTGACTGTAACAAGAGGTTGTTAGAGTTTTGGATGAGTTTAAACTGCTTTCAATGACTTTGGAAACAAATGAGAACTTATTCCATACATTTCATTACAATTGAAAAAGGGAATGATTTTCCAAGAACCAAACCTTGGAAATAAAGCATATACTTTGCTATTTTTAAATAATCCACTTTTATTAATAGCCATTAAATAAAGCAGTGGCATAAAAAAATAACCTTTTTAAATAACTTATCAGAGAATTATATGTGAATAAAATAATGTTTTGTTTTGTTTTGTTTTGTTTTTTACTTTTCATTCAGAAATGGGATCAAATGTTATTAGGAGCACTGAAAATATTTCTGGCCAAGAAAACCGGAGCAGGGGGAAAATGCCTGGATATTTTTGTGTATCAGGAAAATGTCTTTTATAAATAAATTATTTGATTGATTATAAAGCATTCCTTTATCGGTGGCATCCTGAAATAATGCATCTGTCAGCAGAACAAGAACTGAAGGTCTTTATATAAATGGACATATGTAAAGATTTGCCAGCTTTTGGTATGAATTATATGTCATTATGGGCAAAGCAGAAACAAAGAGGAGCTGCTCACTGCTAAAACATATCATAAGAAAATGAAACACAAGGATGGAATAAAAATAATGTTGTAAACTGCAGGTGACAGACGGTGCTGAGGATATCTGAGTCTAAATTTTCAGCATTTAATCGCTCTAATATATTTTAGCTCTTAATGTTTCCAATAGATAAAATACTTAGATATTTTTGTAGCACAGAAAACCCAATAAGGTGTACTAAAAACAAATGTTTTACATATACCATTTCTTTATCATATGCAGAAAAACAAATGATGGGAGCAGAATGTTGGAGCAGAGAAGAGCTCATTTTATTTGAAGAGACAAAATAATCTGACTGTATAAATTCATCAGTTACATTTTAAAGTTCAATGCGACGTTCTGCTGCAGATGAGCCATGCCTTCTGTGTCTGGAAGCAAATGCTTGAAAGATGCTCAAACTCCACGCACAGATGAAGGAAACTTGCTGTATGCAGACAAGAAGTGTCCCGTGGACGGAGTTGTTGAAATTTTCCCCGCGGCGCACAAGTCGTCTGCACTCAGAGGAGACGACTGCATCGACGATGAGGACAAATCCCACCAAACACGTGAAGAAAATGGTGCAAAAGAGGAAAAGGCAGAAGCTCAGATAAAGTGGATTCGTCCTGATTTACCCAGCAGATGCACCTGGAGGCCGGGCGCGCCGATGTCAGAGTCCCCTCACAGCCAACCACCACGGTAAGAGTCACACCAAAACAAAAATGATCTGTTGAAGGTGTCAGGAATAAAACAAAAAGGTGTGAAAATAAAGCCACATTCTTGTCTTTCTAGTTTGCTGTGCAGTAGTCCTAATTTGAACCATAATATAAGTTCATATTTTCACGAGAAGAAGACAATGATATAAAACAATACTGATAAATTTGAAAGTTGTTGTTTTAGGTGAGGCTCGAGACTCTTGCAACTCCTGTTTGTCCGCATCTGAGCATCCATAAATGAAATATATTAATGGTACATTGTGATGAAAACTGTCAACATCGTTAATAGAGTCATTTGTCTTCTGTTCGCTGCAGCATTAAGCCGCCACGAATCCTCCCCAACATCCTCGGACACATTGGATACACACCTCTGGTCCGCCTGAACAAAATCCCGAAGGAGTTTGGGTTAAAGTGTGAAATGTGTGAGTACAACATGACACAACCGCACAGGTGTCAGATCAGCTTCTTGAACAGGTTTTGAGGTCTGCTAAAGATTGGGAGGATGACAGAAATGTCGTTGGATACACATGCAACCTGAAACTTAAACCAGCAAAAAAAAGAAAAGTCTAAACACTTTAGATTCTGTTTAAGTTTATGATGATAACTGAGAGGGAAATGCTCCATTTCACAGCAAAAGACTATTGAGTTTCTCTGCCTATTTATTCTGGGGTTCTAACACAGGGTCACATCAGCGATGTTTAAGCCGCTTTAACTAAACTCTGGTTCGTTTGCCTGGAAAGTCCGGTTCGTTGGGTAAGGTGCGAATGTGTAATCGAGCCCGATGTGAACCACAAAAGGGAACTTTCTTCACCAACGTTTTGAAAAATGCCACTGAGTTCACCTGCGTGACTTTCAGAAAGTCAGCCCAAAGTCAAAACAACACATGAAGATGCTTTTGGAGTTGCTGACAACACAGTCGTCCTGTTAGCTTCCTGCTTACCTTTTACGCATCGAGTATCGCTCACATCATGGCCTTGAACTGGGTGCTGGTACTGTAGGGGTTTTGTTTAAGGAGGCAGCGAGGTCCAGTGGAGAGAAAGGTGAAAATGAAAGGCTCTTTGTTTCTTGGGCCAACAGAAAAAAACAAAACGCAACGTGAAACCTGAAAACTTTCAGGGTGCTTGGGAGAGAATCTCCTCTGCTGCCTCACAATTTGCTGAAAAAGAGAAGATTTTATACCACCTTGCAAAAGATTTTTTTTTTTTTACAAACAAAATCTTCACTCAGGATTTTATGTGATAAACCAACACACAATACCTTAAAAGTGTGAAAAGGAAATAGACGATGCGAGTCTTTCCAGTTTTTAGTGAATAAAAACCCAAAAGGTTTGGTGTGCATTCCAACCCACCCTCATCCAGGTACGATCCAAAGCCACTAATCGCCTTCAGAAGTTACCTCACAAGCAAAAAGAGTAAATGTATCTTATCTGTGAGGGGCTGAGGTTTGATAAGTGATCGAATAGTATGTTTAAGACAACTAAAGAGAGCCAGAGTAAGTATGGAGCAGCTGCAGAAATCCACGGCTCAGGTGGGATCACTAAGACATATTTAGCTCAGAAACACGTGGAAGGAGGTGCTCTGTACCAAACGTTTTGGCGTCAGAAATGACAATGACATGTCCCAAAAGCCTTAAAGCTGTGGTTGCAATGAGAAGTGGATCTACAAGGAATTAAATACAGATGGATGGCACAATTTAAACTAAAAAAAAAGGTAAACCATGTAGCTTTTTCTTTCATTTCAGGCCTATTTGCTGCCTGTCTATGAGATAAAATCCTGTGTGAGATGTATGATGCAAGAAACACGTAAAAGAGCTTTACGTTACACCTCCTAAGAAATACTTGTTTGCTGCCTTTGAGAGCAATTAAAACAAATCTCCTTGCCTTACAACCAGCAGATCATATTTTTAACTAAGTTCGTGAAACAACACAAGTCTGGTGAGAAAGAACTGCTAGACGCGAAGCTGCATTTTTCCATATGAAGACGGAATCGAAGCTTATCTTAGTTGTCACATACTAGTCATAATAACATTCTTGGGGCATCATTATATTAACTGTGATGAATTTCCAAATTATTCCCAAATAATTAATTTGTCTGAGGCCTAAGCTGCTCGAGTGGCAGTCAAAAGCTCTTGAGATTCAAGTAGTAGATTCTCACAGCGTCGGAGTCTGTTTGCATACTAACGAAAGTTGTATTTTTCAGACTCGCTCACCTGCTTGGACGCACTCGAGTCCCTCTGCAGCTTAAATGTGATCATGTGAGCTGAGAGCCTCAGCAGTATGTAACCCAGAATAAAAACCCTCCTCCAGATGAAGACCGCCAGAAAACGAGCAGAACAATGTAGGCATTATCTGCTTTCCGTCCCTTTACAATGCTTCGTTGACTCAACCGAGGGGCTGCAGACCAATTATACGCACATGCACTGGATGCTTCGCTGCATCTGACCCCGAATGTGTGCATGTCACGAAGATTGCAGTTGGCTGGTGCATGCAGCAGTTTGAGGGACGCATTGAGCGTGATATTTACCAAACAGAGATGTCCTGCCGGGTTTTATTTGTCGATGCCACAACCAAACTTCAAGTGAACAATTTAGATTTGAAGATCAAGCTGTTCTTTAACTCTTCTTTAATCTCTGCTTTGATGCCTGAAGCCTTGGGGAGGAAACTGAAAGAAACAGTTTCCTCCCCAAGGAGGAAACTGAGGAACAGCTGAGGAAATGTTTAGCTAAAACAAAAGAAAATGTACATCTCTGGAAAAAGTTAAGAGACCACTTAAAATGAACAGTTTATCTGATTATATATGTATGTTTGAGTAAAATGAACATTGTTCTTTTATTATATGAACTGCTGGCTTTCAAGCCTCAAATAATGTAAAGAAAACTAGTTAAGATTCATTTAGAAACAACAATACTAATGTTATAACTCAGGAAGAGTTCAGAAATAAATATTTGGTGGAAAAAGCAGGAGGTTTTCAATGAGTGCAGTGGGCTCTTCATTTTGCTCCAGAGCCGTGTAAACAAAACAGGGAGATAAGGATGACCCATGTTAATGTGCTTCAATTCAAAAGACATTCATTATGGGAGAGTTTTGAAAAAGTAAAAATCTTAGCAACTTTTCCAAGTGGGATTTATTTGGGTCACTAAAGGCAGTTTATTGGCAGAGCAACTCATTACACAGATTAGAGGAAAAAAAAGACAGCTAATGGGAGTAATATACATTAAAAACACAAAATACACGTTAAATATGTTGAAAGAATATATCGCAAATTTTAATTTGTAACTTGTTTCTTATTAAAAGGTTAATCAAACTCCATGTTACCCCTTCTCTTAACTGCTCATGCAGCTGCATTTCAATGCCTCCTAAAAGACAAAAACAGTTTTATTTTCACCTTTAAAAAGAACATTTTTAGTTCTGTAACAATCAGTAATTAGGAAATCACATCAGTTTTCACAATCCTACTTCTTTAATATTTGGGATAAAAAAAATATAGAAAAAAGTGAAAACGACACAAAATGTTCCTCATTATTATTTTTACTTTTCTGTCTCCTGGTTTAGTTGCCAAGTGTGAGTTTTTCAACGCAGGCGGCAGCATTAAAGACAGAATCACCATGCGGATGGTGGAGGACGCCGAGGAAGCTGGCATCCTCAAACCAGGGGACACAATCATTGAGCCCACCTCCGGTAACACAGGTACTCCCTGCTGAACAAATCTTTCACCTAACTGGGATTTTATAACTTGACACGTGTGTCAGCCACCGTGAACCGCCGCTCTCCTCTTCTAGGAATCGGACTTGCTCTCATAGCGGCTGTGAAAGGCTACCGCTGCATCATTGCGATGCCCGAGAAGATGAGTATGGAGAAAGTGCGTGCTTCCTGCACTCAGTTATTCTTCAGCAGACTGTGGCCCAGCGCATGCAGCTGATCTTCTCCTGTGTTGTAGGTGGATGTGCTGAAGGCCCTCGGGGCAGAGATAGTTCGCACTCCTTCATCTGCAGCTTTCGACTCGCCGGAGTCTCACATACGGACAGCTTGGAGGTTAAAGAGCGAGATTCCCAACTCGCACATCCTGGACCAGTATCGTAACGCCAGTAACCCGCTGGCTCACTACGACACAACAGCTGAGGAAATACTGGAGCAGTGTGAAGGTCAGGTTTTCCTTTTATTTTGAAATGTGTCTGTTGTGAAATGTGCGCATGTCAGTGGAGCGAAAGGTCTGCTCATTTTCAGTTCTGTAAACTACATGGAGCTGTTTAATTTACTCTTCTAATATTATGGAAAGTTTAATGACTTCATTTGCACAGTCAGTTTGAGATTAAATGCAGCAGACACACAACTGAAATAAACTTTTTGGGTCGTACAAAGTTACATGTTCAGGGTTCAAATACTTTTTGTGGGATCTTATTAGAAAGTAGTCAGACCCACTATTGTTATTACATATATATTTGTGTGATTTATATTTGGTGCTAACAAGCTGGCACCAAATATAAATCACAGTTTCATAAAAATTCCAAATCCTGCAGATTATTTAATATGAAAATATTTTTTTAAATGATAAGTAATTACTTAGAGAGAACTGTGATTTTCCTTTCAGGTAAACTGGACATGGTTGTAGCTGGAGCAGGGACCGGTGGTACGCTGACAGGCATAGCTCGAAAGCTAAAGGAGAAGTGCCCCAATGTCAAGGCAAAACCCACAAACCAACTCAGTGACGATTTGCCAACGAACACTGCTTTGATTTTGTCTTAGTCAGCCACAAAAAATGTAAACATTTCTCCCAGGAAACACACCTTTTATAAGTCTGTAAGTGCTGCCATTGTAATTTGTTTGCAGATAATCGGCGTCGATCCTGAGGGCTCGATGCTGGTTCACTCAGAACAGCATCAAAGTGCTCATTTCGAAGTCGAGGGCATTGGATATGACTTCATCCCCATGGTGTTGGACCGATCTGTGAGTGCTAGTGTGAATTCGGAAATGTCATTAGTTTCCAGCGAAAATACAACTTCATTTTTCTCTTCATCAAATCTCCAGCTTGTCCACCAGTGGTACAAAGCGAGCGATAAGGAAACATTTAACATGGCACGCAAACTAATAAGAGAGGAAGGCCTCCTCTGTGGTGAGTTTGGACCACTGTTTAGCTCAGCATGTTAGATTTTTAAAGACCTTTTGTGTTGCTTTGCGTTAGCAGTTGAATTTGTTGGTGATCCAGGTGGGAGTTCTGGCTCAGCGATGGCGGCAGCAGTGGAAATGGCTCAGCAGCTGGAGGAGGGACAGCGCTGCGTGGTCATCCTGCCAGACTCGGTTCGCAACTACATGTAAGAGAATGAACAATGTTATTATAGCCAAGACTCTAAAAGAAGACTTCTATTATCACCTCCCACAGTCTGTTAAACCAGAGATAAAATGAATATTAATTCACATCTGTATTTTTAAAGTTCTAATCATTTGTTTAGTCCTGATGACGTTGTCCTTTTTCTTGTAAATTACAATACACACCTTAATATTTAATTGATCCATTGAAGCTGTACTTATTACAAAAATGTGTACTAATGATAGGAAAGAAAATGCATTTTGCATTTTAAGGTGGTAATTTACTATTTATTGTCAGGCACAAACTAGTGAAGTCGAATAAAAAAAGATGACGAAAAGTTTTATAAACTGGATCATGATGATGAATGTGGTTCAATCTAATCTCTGGTAGAGAGTAGTTTACTAGATCACTAGTTTACTAGCTCCAGAATGAAAAAAAAAAAAAAACTACCTGCAGGATTTAATCGTCAGGTCAAAGTTCCTGTGCGATCAGTGGATGTGTGAAAAAGGTTTCCTGGAGAGTCCGAATGAGATCAAGCCCTGGTAAGAGTGAAAAAACCAAACCTCTCCTGTTTGGATGCAACGGGTCAGCTGGATGTTTTGACATATTTCTGTTGAAGGTGGTGGAACGCGACAGTCCGCAGTTTACACCTCTCCAATCCGCTCACCTTTGCTCCGTTACTGTCCTGCCAAAAAGTCATCGAGATCCTGAAAGAGAAGGCTTTTGACCAGGCTCCAGTCCTCAGTGAGTCTGGGTATGTTCTTTAGATTTTATTTGACTCGAATCATTTCATCACATCGTATTAAATCCTCGGGTATTTCATCGTTTAATAGCACAGAGGACATTGGAATCAAGCTGTCATTTATGAAACTGTCTCCAACTTGATTCTTCTTTTCAAAGAAAAAAAGAAAGTATTTTATTTGAATATTTCTTGATTCACGTGGCTCTGCAGTGAGGTCATGGGCATGGTCACTCTGGGAACCATTCTTTCCAGTGTGCAGGATGGAAAAGTCAAACTATCAGATCCAGTCAGCATGGTGCTTTTCAAGGACTTCAGACAGGTCAGTTTGGTGGTGGAAACGCTGAATCCTCTACATCATGGACGGCTAACATGTTCATTATAACATGTTTGCTCTTAGGTGCGCCTGACGGACAACCTGGGGAAGTTATCCTGCATCCTCAAAACCCAGAACTTTGCCCTGGTGGTGGATGATCAGACCCAGAGTAAGAATTTTTTTTTTTAGCTTTTCGCTAAATTCTGTTTAACCATTATTACCAGTGAGACGTTTCTGTTTCCGTCCAGACGATGCGGCGGGTTCTGTTTGTCCGAGGCAGAACGGGTTTGGCGTTGTGACGGCGATCGACCTCCTGAACTTCATCACCGCACATGAGGGACAGGATCTCCCATAATCCTCATGTTCGCCCTCATGCAGCCAGGCAGTGAGTTGTTTGGAGGATTTCACCTGCTTAATCAGGTTGTTTTAAAATAAAATAAAAAGCCAGCTCAATAAAATGAAAATATTGTGAGGAATTATGCTTCATTTAGTCATTTTGTTTCATTTTTCAACATTACAGTAGATGTAAACACCTTATAAGCATTCAATGGTTAGAATATGATTGAGAAGAAAACTTTCTACACTTTATGTTACTTTTATGAAAAGTTTGTAGAAAAATTGCAGATGAAAATTTCTGGTATGATTCGTTTTATATAGTTTAGTTATACACAGATTATTTAAAGTATTTTCATGAGTCAAGGAGTCGATGTCTGTCGGGATCAGCTAAGGGATTTGCACGGGTCAAATCTTGTAATATGTAAAACATTATTGATACAATAGACACTCTTCAACTTTTTTCATCATTAATTAACAACGGTAGGTATTGTACCACTCCTTCCAGTTTTGTTGCTATATTTGTTTTCTTTTTACTCTATTTGCCTCTGTAATGTTTAAGTTTTTTTTTATAGATTTAACGTCGCTGTCTGGTGATAAAACTTCAGCAAAGAGAATTATGGAAGTGTGTGAATTTATGTTATTTTTCAGTTGAATTAAATATAGTCAAAAAATAAACATAAGGCTGTCATTTTCCAGATTTTCTCACTTGTTCTTGAATTTCTTTGGAATATGACATGATGTGTTGCTTTGAGTTATTTTGACCAACAGGTGATGTATGTTGGAGGCAAGCTTTGTCACGTGGACAGCACACTGTGGATGAAAGGTTTGATTGTTTTTTTTAAATTGATCATGCGTTCCCGAATCCCGAAACAGGACGGAGTGTCTAGTTGAGCCACAAGAGGGCAGCATCGTCACACCAAAGAGACACGGACAGCACCATGGACAAAACCTGAGTGACATTTTGAAAACTCACATCTCCTTGTATGAACCGAGCCCTGAACTTCGGGCGTTTCTAATTCAATTCAATCAGCAGTTGTTTTTCATTTTCGTCAAATTACTGCTCAAATCCTTTCTGTGACTCAATGCGACTCTTGGGGAGGAAAGCCTCTCAAAAGATTGAATTGAAATAATCTCATTTCATTTGTCAAATATGGAAAGCTTTGAAGAGACCCTCGTAAGGCCTCACTAAAATCCATTTAAAATGCATCATGCCCAAGTCTTATTAATTGATTAGGAGATTTTATTTTGTGTAATTGTAGTTGTATTGTTTCACATTCAATCATCTCTTTGTTTTTCTATTTTTCTTTTATGTTTTTTTTGTATGATTAAACCGCAAGCTTCCTGAATCAACTTTATTCTTGACAATCAGAAAACAAAGAAGGCAGCTCTTTTCTTCTTCCTGCGTCTTTGAGCGTGATTATACATTTTGAGAGTAAGAAACTGCTTGCCTTGATCTTTTCTATCCATTTTCATCCAATGGTAATTCAGACAAAAGGTTTCTCTTTTTTAAAAAATGCTCATTTACTAACTTTCTGCAGCACCTAGCTGTGCTACAGTGCTAATGCTGACTTGTTGATGAACATAAACAGCTAATAAAGGTTTGCTTGTAAGCAACCAACAAAACCCATAGTACTAACTAAAGAAAATAAAACAGTAAATGCAATGTTGTGAAGAAAAAGGAAAAGTATGGCAACATGAAGTCGACAAAATTATCTTTAAATCTTCTTTGCTTTTTTCCTCAAGGCCAGAAATAAAAGCTAAGTCACTGACATCCGTTGTTCTGTGAAATGTTACAAAACGGTTCCCAAAGCTCCGGTACTCAGTAAAAAACCTTCCTGGAAGTAGCCGGCCTCCCAAGATTGCTCCATAAATGCATCAGTGACAGAAAGCCTCACTGAGTCAAGGTTAGAGTTCATGATTTAACTGTTACAGTCAAATTCAGTAAATCAGAATTGACCCGATGAGTCTCATTTGTACCTTTTGAAAACAAGAGCCTTTTAAAAGATCTTAAAGTTTTTTATTCTGTTTTTAAAAATAGTTTTATTTATTGGTCTGATGTAATATTCTAATTTTAAATGTCATTTTTTTTATGAACTATAAGTGGAAAATCATCACAATTAAAAGAACTAAAGTTGTGTGTATATATGTTTCACTTGGTGATAGAGTGACTGAAGCAAATCGACTTTTCAATGCCTATCTATGTTATCTAATGGGTCTGTAGAAAAAATGGCAAATATGGCAACAACGGTTAAAACCACTTAACCAAAAGTACGGGGAATTTTAATGCCATAATCCAAGAGGAAAACCAGGATTTCATGTCTGTCTTCTCAAAACTTGAAATTCTTGTACTCAAAACTTCAGACTCTGTCTATGCTCGCCTTTGAAATAAATGCCTTTTGGCACAGTCACCTGGCAACCTCTCAGCCAATAGAATTATAGTGTGGTACTGGGTGCATTTGCTTCCTTCTAGGTTTGCCTGTGTGGCTTCTATCGATTGTAGCAACCTGCACCACCCACTGGAGGTAGGGAGAAACAACATCAGCTTTATGCTCCGTAGCACATCAGAAAACCGCCAGCAAGTGCTACTGATCGCTAACAGCTACTGATCGCTAACAGCTACTGATCGCTAACAGCTACTGATCTTAGGCAGGAGTTTGTTCACCCAACCAGCTGCCAACAGGTCATGTAAAAAGTTGCTTTTTCATGACTTTCAACAGCCCGTTAACAAAGTAAAACCCTCCTTATAAAATTGCTTTTGTATTTATTAATGTTATTCTCGTCTGTTATCAAAATGTGTTTTAATATCTGAAACATTTAGGTGTTTGATTGGAATGGAACAAATAAATTCTCAAAGCACTGTAGCTCCAAAAGTCCGATTTATCATTAATTGAAGTATACTGAAAAGAGTCAGATAGTAAGTGCTGACCGAAGACACAACTAAAGAAATAATGATTCTTTTTAAGTTACAAAAACAGCAAATTGTAAGAAGACAAAATAGTCAAATAGCAGCAGAGGCTAGCTCTCCCCCCAAAAACAGAAAAACATCTGCCATTTAGTAATTGTACTTAATTTTTTTTTGCAATATTGCAATCTTTGTCTTGAATTCTTCAGTGTTGATGAATGGGTGCTACCTGCATTTTCACAGCATCCTGTGTTAACGCGGAGCCTCTGCAATTAGAGCATTATCACGCTCCCTCCCGCCTCTGACAGCCTGTGAATCATTTCCAGTGATCTGCTTGTCATCACACATCATTTCCTGACGAGGAATTGTGTCAAATAACAGCTCCGGTGTCACAGAACGCTGATTTCACATGACGCCGATAGAAACTGCAATCATCGACTCCATTATTTACCAGAGCCTCTCCGCTGGGGCCAAACTAGTCACAGTCCAAGCGCGTCACTCTGAGGAACTGTTGATGTCACGTCACGCTGTCCTTGGATGTCCTCGCCTGTCCTCTTTACCTCACAGGACATCGCGGTCTCGTCCTGGGATAATGCTGATCTCGTTTGGTCATCACCTCCAGAGTTCATAACGCAGAACAAAACCAAGAAAGCTGAGTTGTTGTGAAGATCTGTATCACAGAGGCATTGCCTTGATGAGCCATGTTAGACTACTTTACTCGTTTGCGGATTATTGTGATTGAGAGCAGATTCATATTTCTATCAGTTAAAGTACATTCCAGTTAATAAAGCGGCAAAACAGCCCCAGATTATCGTACCACCACCACAAATATTTACATTCGCTCCTATCACTCTGCTATCAGTAGCCATTTGTACCTCAATCACATGACATCTTATTAGACATTGTAGAGTTTGTTTATGTTTGATTATTTTATTCACCATGTTTGATTATTTTATGAATGCTTGTAAAAAGAATAACTTTTGTCTTTTCAGTCCACAGAATATTTTTGCCAAATGTTTTGGGAATCATCAAGACCTTTTTGGGTCAATTCAGGATTTAGTCTTCATGTTGTTTTGAAACTACAGCAGTTTTGGTCTTGGGATTCTTCTTTGCGATTTTTGCCCATGAACCTTGACCTTATAACTTAGGCAAGTGTGGTCTGCTATAGTTGTTACTTTGAGTTTTTTTTTTTTTGTGACCCTCTGGTGATGCATTCTGGGAATAATTTTCCACTCCTGGGAAGGTTTACCATTGTTCCTTGTTTTCTTCATTTGTGGTCTGTGGAGTACCAAGACCAAATTAATAGTGTCTATCAGAAATAAAAGCTTTGAAGCTTTAGAGTTGAAAGTAAAGATGAATTACAGTGAGCCACAGCAGCAGGAAGACTTAGCATTTCTGCGTAACATGTAGAAAACTCCCAGCTGGATTCTTGACTTTATATTATATTACAAACTGATCAGAAAGTTTTGTCTGCCAACTGAAACATGCTTCGATAATGGTTCTTTTCATATGTTTGTTGAATTGATGTAATTTTCTTTCGACAGTAAAATAGTACTAACATTCTCATTGTTTTTATTTTCTTATTTTGACCATGATCGCCTCTGTTCAGCCTGGAAGTCCAGCATGGATCTCAGGTCTCCCTCAAGAGAAAATTAAACAAGTTTTTTTCTGAATCAACAGGTCCTCTCAAACACCTCACACTGCTGCTGGGGGAGCGGGACAGTTTCGCCGGCAACCACAAGGTGTGGAAATTCAGAATGACGCACGCAAAGGTCATTTTATCCAAGCAGCTTTCACCTGCAGAGGATAGCAGCACAATTAGAGGTTAATTATTCACCTCAGGCTGGAGCCTTGGAGTACACTTATCAGCGGTCGTGAACTTTAAGCGGTGAGCAGAACGTTTCCAGGGAGTGAAGGTCATGTCAGAAGCAAAGCGGAGCTGGAAATGTTTTGATTAGTCACAGTTAAAAAGCATACTTTACAAATCATGTGTGAAACACTTTCTTTTGTCGCTTATGGTATTTCTACCAATTCCTCTTTACAGCCGGAAACGTCAATGTTTATCACATAAACTTCTAAATTAGGAAGACTGATAAAAAAAAATCTGCATTTGTGTTTCACTCTTTACTCTGATCATTAAAACCCACTGTCAGTCATTTATGTTCACACATGTTTGCATCCCAGTGATAGATGACAATGGCTACATTCATATAAACTATAATTGAAGTGGATGTGTTTGTCGCCGGATTAAAGCACTTTTGAGTGGTCACTACGACTGGAAGCATTTATTTATTTCATTTACTTTTTATCTAGTCAGTAAGTTTCCACTGGTGTGTAATTTAATTCCCGGTGTAAATTTGTGAAAGCCTCAGAGGTTTGTTCGGGATCAGTACTGACCAAACAGAAATGATTGAAGCTCTGTTCCTGGAAGAGCAAAGGCCAGGGAGAAAAATGGGAAGACAACAATATTCCAAGCTTGTAGCATCTCACAGAGCAATGTTTAAACAATCTTCAGGAAATGGAAAGATTACTACTGCAAAACTACAAATATAACAACACAATAGCAGACAGATCTACCAACACATTACCCAGAGAAACAGTCCAAACGCCCAGAGTAACAATGGAGGTGCCACAGAAGTCCACAGCTCCAATTGATGCCAAATTTTATATAATTTTTCTTTCTTTTCACAAAATTGCACCATTCTGTGTTGCTCTGCTACATAAATTGACAAGAAATACATAG